CCCCCCCCCCCTTCCCGGTCGCACACCACACATAATGGCGCTTCTCTGCTTCCACAAGCCAATTCGCCTGGAGGACTTGGGACCCATTCCAAACACGGCGGAGGAATAACAACCAGAATTGCGTTGCGTTCAGCAGCCGCTCTATAATTACCTCCGTTCTCGTTCCCTCCCGCAGAGACCATGCGACTCTACCCGGCGCTGGCCGGCCTGCCACGCGTGGTGACGCGCGACTACCAGCTGCCCGGCGAGAGCCCCAAGGCGGTGCTGCCCGCCGGCACCCGCGTCATCATCCCCACGTACGCCATCCACTGCGACCCCGAGTTCTACCCCGACCCGATGCGCTTCGACCCGGAGCGCTTCACCGAGGAGAACAAGAAGAGCCGGCCGCACTACGCCTACCTGCCGTTCGGCGAAGGGCCGAGGATATGCATCGGTGAGTGTCGACTAGGGATTTTAATTTTCCAGAAATGCACTTTTGGAACATTTTCCAAGAATGTTTCCCCCAAAATGTTTGATTCTTTTAAAATTAAAAGTTTTATTTTTCCAATTTTCCTGGAAATATTTCAAGTTTTTTTTTTGGAAAAGTTTCTTCTAAAACCCTGCTCTTTTCTCCACTTTTTGACAGGCTTGCGCTTCGCCATGATGCAGATGAAGACGTCTCTCGCCATGATCCTCCGTTCGTACCGAGTTACCCCGAGTCAGAAATCGGAGTATCCCCTGCAGTTCGAACCAAAGAGTTTCGTAACTAGACTGAGAGGCGGAAACCGTCTCAGGATTACCAAGCGGTAAACCTTGCAGAACCGGTAGCTAAGAAACTTAATTGGTAGGCAGACGATTACTGCGCTGAAGATGCTCGTCAATTGTATTGTATTTACATTGTTAATAATTTATAAGTTGTTTTTTAAATAAATTTTTGTTAAATAAACTAATGTGGATATAAGGTGCCATCTCGACAAACGTCCCCCGAGGTTGACGCGTCAAACATTCTGTTGCGGCCAGAAGCCCCCGCCCGAGACCCCGTACTTACTTGGGGCGGGCCGCCGTCTTCACACCGCTGCTTGGCGGGTTGGCCTACCCAGCGCGTGGCAGGCGCCAACATTGACTTGACTAACCACGAGGCCACTGTTGGTCCTAGGTTGTTGGTCTAGCGTTGCCTCGAAAAAGAATCGTTGTTGGGAGAGTCACCTCTTTAATGTACATGTAGGGGAGAGCTCCTCGAGATTCGTCCCGGGAATTCCCCCCCCCCTCCCCAAATCACATGGAGCGGCGTAATTGCGTTATTGCCTCATCTCAGTGAGACGTTAACGTGGAGAGAGCATCGAAACGTGACATCGTTTTGACGCCACTTTGATCATTTTCACATTGTTTGTCGATATCGGTCCGTACACTAGGTGTGGCGCCTATGGCGAGCTAGGCAACCCTCAACGCACCCGTACGTGCGGTACTGTAGGCTATAACTTGTCAAGTGGGAGGCCACGCAGATAAACATCTACCCCCCCCCCCCCCCGAAACCAGCCTTTTTCTATTATTTTTTTGTATTTTGGTGGCGAACCGGGTGAACGGAATTTAATCAGTATTACCAACATCACGGGTTTGAGAATCAAGGACTCTTTCAGAAACTTCTTTAATTCGCGTAATCACAAACAAAGATGTAACTTGGCTAGACGCTGAGTTTTCGACTCAAGCAAAATATCGTCTTAGATCCTTAGATCTTAAGATGCCCCAATGCCCCTCTCTCCCCTCTCTTCGAAAAGCCGGCGAATCAGCTGGCTGGAGCCGGGGAGGTCGGTAACCTTACTTACAACTGCTTACAACCTGACAAACTACCGGGACCGGGACAGCTGACAGCTGTGGTTGTGGAGAACTGAGACCAAAATCAAAAGGGAACAACAGTGTCGAAAGGTCACACTCTCTGGCTTGCGGCTTTACCGGATTAGTTAAAGAGTGTGGACAGCCAGGACGCGCATATGTCTTATCTTGGTACCATGAAGGTAAGATAAGAAGGGGGACTCTCGCTCCTGCTTATTCTAGTCTTTGTTCCGTTTTGTTCTGCTTGGTGACGCCGAGGAAGTCGTTCTCTGCTACTGCAACACGAACTCCCACGATGAAATCCCATGTCATTACATTTTGATTGTCTCTAAAAGTTTTCAATTAATAGTTACTAATTTAATTTAAAATTATGGCTCTTTCTGCAGGACCATGTTTGAAAGTGTGTGTTTTTGTTAAATTTCTAGCAATCCGAAACAATTGTGAATCTATTCAAAAAAGCTGCCCTAGTTCCTGGCCTTTCTTCAGCATGGATTCTTCAATCTGGAGCACTTCCAGGCAAGAGCGTGACTGTAATATCAAGATGGGCTCAGAGAAATTTAGAAAGAGGAAAGATGGTAAAATTTCAGCAATATCATCTCTTTGATTCCGCTACTGCCAAAGCAACTGACATGTTACCTGTTGATGTTTCGAATGAGTAAGCCTCTGTTTAAGAAAACAACAACACAAAAACTTTTTATTTTTGTAGCCATACAAAAAAATTGTCGCTTCTTATTTATTTAAACATTTCAGGACTATTTCACGTATTTCCAATTCTGATGAGCTCCGTGCATCTCTTCGAGACTATCCGTCTAACGGCAGTGGAAACAAACAATATTTAGAAATTTGGAAGCATCACCAACTTTATCAGAACTACGATCTAAGTGCACTTGATGTGCATGGTGAAGTTTACACTGATGGTATTATGTTTTTATTTAAGTATATATTTTTTAGTCAGTGATACGTGGAATACAAAATAATAAATTCCATTTGTCTTTAGAGGAATTTTCGTCATTAGAGTGGTCTCCCTGTGAGACAAAAGTAATCTACATAGCAGAACGTAAAGTCCCCAAATCTGAGCCTTTCTATAAACCTAAACCTCAGGACAGCAAAGAAAATGATCCTGAGAAAGCTCCTCAAAAGGTTTTTAGAGATAAACTTGAATTTATATAAGTAAAAAGAATAAGTTGTATATTTAAAAATTATTTTGTTTGATGTTAAATTGGTGACTTGTTTTTTTCAGGGTGAAGAGTACACTTACAGGGATGAGTGGGGAGAAACACTCGTCGGAAAGCATCAGCCTGTAGTTGTTGTCTGTGATTTGAACTCCGAGCTTCTCACCGTTTTAGATGCAATTCCATCAGAATATTCACCTGGTCAAGTAATTTGGACTCCTGATGGGAAAGGCATTGTTGGAGTTGGGTGGAAAAATGAACCGAGACGTCTTGGTTTAGTTTACTGCACCAATAGAGAATCTGTAATTTTCCATTTATCCCTTGAGAATGGCGAATTCAGTAAGCAGCATAGGAATATTTGGTACAGAATTATAATTACAATTGATAGAAGTGGAAGAAATTCATAGAATGTAATTGTTTTAGGTATCCTATCACAATCAAATAGCCAAGCTGTTCGCTCCCCCAGATTTAGCCCTGATGGTCAATACCTGGTGTGGCTTCAAGGAGAGGCTGGTGGCCCACATCATGCAGGCCTGAAACTGATGTGCTGTTTGTGGGAGACCAGAAAGGTATAAAGAAATTGATCATCAACATGCTTTTATTTACTTAAAAAAACTGTGATCTATATTCTTTTTGTTTTTAGGTATCAACTGTAATTGACCTAGTAAAAAGCCAGATCAAAATTGTGAATGGAAAATTATTTAATGGCATTTACTCTCTAAAACTGCCTCATAGGTGTTGGTCAACAGATTCTAAGAGGCTGTTTTTCAGTACTCCTCAACGCTTTAGAGTTATCAGTTATGTTGTGGATATCAGTAAGTAACAATGCAAATTCTTTATGTAATATAACATATTCCAACTTTAAATATCAAAATTTGTCTTTTTTAGGTAATGGGGAAATTACTGAGTTAGAGTGGCCTGTAGACGGTCCTACAAAAGGCTCAGGCACTATACTGGATGTTTCGCAAGATATGATAGTAATGTCACGTAGTTCTCTTCGTGTACCAGCTGGTCTTGTCTTAGGCAATTTGCCACCTGCTGGACAAGAGCACACTATTAAGTGGATGCCAATTACATCATGGGTTGCCCCATCTGATCTTCAGAACTGTGAAGTCCAGTACATTTCCCTACTAGCAGAAAATTCTTCTGATTCAGTTCGTGCGTAATTTACCATCTTATGATAAATTCACTTCAAATTTAATTCTTTTTTCCTATGGTTGGTTAACATTAATTAATTAATTAATTAATTAAATTTTTGTTATATTTACAGGAAATTTTAATGCCTTGTATGTTGGTCCTCATGGTAAGCCTGATGGCTCAGTTCCTCTCATTGTTTATCCTCACGGAGGACCTCACTCAATGTTTACAGATGAGTACAGTTTGAATGTCAGACTCATGGTGACACTTGGTGAGACGCCTGGAACATATAATTTTCCAGATTCTATCAACAATACCTCTTATTTTTCAAAGGATTAAACAATAAAAATATTTCTTTTTTGTTGTAGGCTATGGAGTGCTTTTGGTAAATTTCCGAGGATCAATTGGCCTAGGTGAAGACAGTGTACATTTCTTACCAGGTCGAGTAGGTGATGCAGATGTGAAAGATGTTCATCAAGCAAAGAATTTTGCTTTGAAAGAATTTTCCTGTTTGAACCCTAAGAAATGTGTTCTATTTGGAGGCTCTCATGGAGGATTTCTGGTGACACACCTTAGTGGGCAGTATCCAAATGATTACTGTGCGGTTGTTGCCCGAAACCCTGTTGTGGACATAGCTTCCATGACTAGCATTTCGGACATACCTGACTGGTAATGACATTGCAATTGACTCACCCTTAAACAATAACAAATGAATTCTTTGGCTATAACTGTATCAATTTTTTTCCTGTATAGGTGCTATACCGAGGCAGGTTACTTGTACAATCCTGCCTCCATCGCGAGCATAGAATCCTTGGCAGCAATGCGTCAATGTTCACCCATACAACATATTGCAAATGTGAAAGCCCCAACTTTGTTAATGCTTGGAAAAAAAGACCTTCGTGTGCCATTCAGTCAGGGCATGGCATTTTATCATACATTGCATGCCAATGGAGTGATCACAAAGTAAGTACCTTCCAAATTTTGTCTGTATCAAAAACAACCCAAAGAAACACCCCTTTAAAGAGTGTAATTTACTATGCCTTTTTCTAGGGTACATGTTTATGATGACGTACATGGCCTTGGTACTGTACCCGTAGAGATGGATAATATCATCAACTCAATGCTGTGGTTTGGGGAACATACTGGATGAAGATGACTTGCATGTCAAAATCTACTCTTAACGACAACTTCTAATTATTTGTAAATAAATTTGAAACCCTAGAATGTAATTTATGATTTATGACGCATTTATAAAAACAATTTATAACTACATATTGCTGATCAATTCATTTTGTGAAATAAATCATAAATAAATTTACACACAATATCATGATGCAGAAATTTATTGCCAATGTCTTATGGCCTTGACATACAGGTAAGTATATTTCATAATTAACCAGGTTATTTAACATTCTTAGACCTTGCTCCAAAACTTCATCTGAAAGAACAAATCAGCAAGAGCCATCAAACTTTCTTCACAATTTGAACAACATCTTCGTCAGCTAGAACATGTTCTTTGCCAACTTTTTGAGGCTGATGTTTCACTGAGGAGCCCCAGACCAGGCCACTGAGAAGGAAAAAAAAAAAGGTAAGGCAACCACAATTACTAACCTGATAAAGTTAAAGGGTACACAGTATACATACTATTTGAACTCCTTGGCAATGGATCGATGTAGTTTGTTGCAAAAGTCTTCCACACTCAATCTATCAGAATGAAGGACCACAGGTGATTCATAATCAGGTAGCTGCCCTTTTGGCTTAGTGTAACTGAAGATTAAGAAAAAAGAAAGAAAACCACAATGCCGGTAATTAAGAAAAATGTTCATCATTTTGTCTAGAAGTAGAAATATAGTGAAAATTATATTAAACTCACATTCTGACCAGTTTAAGATACAGCCACATTTTTTCCAAAAGGTCGTCAAAGTTCCATCTATGGTGGGCTGATATAGGTACACAGTGAGGAATCTTGTAGATTATGTCAAGTTCTTCAATGCTGATCTGATCTACAAAATAAAATAAAACATTAATGAAGAATTAAGCAAACAATGTCCGCAAAAATAGACAGCACAAGAGCAAAAAAGTAAAAAATAAAATCAACAGCATCAACAACCAAATTGACTCACCAATTTTATTCAATAAATAAATACAAGGGACATAAATACGATTTCCTTCAACAACATCGATAAGATCGTCACTTGTGGCATCATATCTGAGAGTAATATCTGCATTATGGATTTTGTACTCGGACAAAATTGTTCTAACAGTATCCAAGTCCAGCTCAGATTGAGTAACCTGAAAATTTTGGCACTTGATTTAAATAAGGTCTTGTGCAAGACCAAAGCACCTAATGTGCAAAATTGCTACTCACCATTGTTTGTAAGTTGATTCCTCCCTTGTCCTTCTTACGAAAAACAATATTTGGGGGATCTTTATTCAGTCTAAGACCAAATCCTTCCAACTCATGTTCTATGAGCTTCTTGTGTTTAAGAGGCTTGAGTACATCAAGAACAATGAAAATTAAACTGCATGTTCGAGCAACAGCAATGACTTGTCGACCCCTACCCTTGCCATCTTTAGCACCTTCAATGATACCAGGCAAGTCAAGTAGCTGAAATATGGGCAAAAGAAAAATAAAGCAATCGACTAAAGGAGTGAACTTTTATAAAACAAAATGTAGTGAAAATTACCTGAATCTTAGCACCCTTATATTTTATGCAACCTGGCACAGTAGTCAATGTAGTAAATTCATAAGCAGCAACCTCAGAATACACACCAGCTAATGTGCTCAGAAGCGTTGATTTTCCAACAGAGGGAAATCCTAAAAAATATTAACCATGTCACTCATTCAAAAATAATCTGAATTTGAAATTTAAGATAATTTGAAACTGAAACTCAAATTTGCTGGACCCATACCTACAAAACCTATCCTGGCGTCACCAGTTTTGGCCACATCAAAACCTTCTCCAGGGCCTCCACCACCACCTTTGGGAGTAATGAGTTCACGTCGAAGCTTTGCTAATCTTGCTTTCAGAAGACCAAGATGTCCAGCAGTTGCTTTATTTTTCTGCGTCCTTGCCATCTGCAATTAAAACAGTTTTAAGTAAGTAATGAAAAATAGTGAAATGGACTTAATTTTTAAGAACACAAAAAACTGTTGAATTGAGAGCATTAACCCATTGATGGTTGGTTGGGTTGGTTGATGAATAAAAATAATAAATTTACTAGAAATGAGGGAACATAAGATAGTAGGAGAGCATATCAAGAAAATGTTGGAGCATGAATGAGAATTCGTCCGTTTATGTTACTTATGGAGAAATTTTGTGTTGGAATATATGTGAAGTTAAGCGGAGTGGTTAGGTACCAAGTGCCAAGCGGTGTCTTCAAAATTAAAGTAGCAACAACTCACCTCTGCCTCGATGGCAGCAATTTTATCTAGTATGGTCGACATTTTGAAACCAAATTACAATCTTTTCGTGAATAAAACAAACAATCAGGGTTTCCTGAAACAAAAATATTGAAAGCAACACATTCCACGGCGGCAAGCACACTACTGCCTGCCGCACGCGTTCGCCAGGCTAGCCACTAGGAGAAACATTGGTATTGCGTTTTCCGAGAGTTTGGATCAGCAGAACCACCATCTAGTGAGAGGCTACGTCGGGTTCGTTAAGAGGAATAACGATGTCCCCCAACTAGCTCTAAAGGCCGGTACGTTATGTAAGGTCGATGACTGGACGACACAGTTATTCCTCATAACACATTCGGCGTAGCCTCTCACTAGGTAGTAGTACCCTTAAAGTTATCTGGGTTATCTATCGTACATTACATTGTCCGGCATCCATTTGTAAACAAACCAAAGACTCAAAATTCAAACTGCCAATACAAAGTGTACGTTAATTATTAATCTGCTTCATACCGCTTCGTCAATCAGCCATAATATGGAGGAAGATATATCTACTGCTCGATACTGTTTTAAGGGAGAGTGGAAAGAGGTGGAAAATTGTAAAGTGACTGAGTTTTTAATAACGTATTTCCCTGGTGATAGTAGTATTGAACTGTTTGACCTTAAAAAGCACCGATTGTTTTTGAAGCGGAACAAGTGTCATCAGGTTGCATTGAAAGATCTTTTTGTTGGCAATTCGGTCAACATTTTTAGCCGTCAAATAACTATTACTGATTATGGTGACAGTATGACAAAACAGCGACTTTCTATAAAAATGCAGAAGACCTTTGGCTTATTGCAATCAAATCAAATAAAAAATCTAGGACCTATTCTCGAAGCAATCCAAGAAGGTGGCTTTACTATTGGTCGGATGCGAATGATCAGTCTTACCAGAGAACAAGCACTTGTATTATTCAAGAATGTCAAAGAAGCTGTTCTACAGAATGATCTTGTGACACACACAATATCCGGCCCAGTTGTTGTATTGGAATTGCTTGGAAATAATGCCATTCAAAGTTGGGCTGATTTCATTGGTCCCATGGATCCAGAGGAAGCTAAGTAAGATCATGCAGTCTGTCCAAAAATTGACATAGAAATATCAAATTTTGAGGATTATATCCCAGTTGGGCCCTTGGTATTGGTCTTGCTTCAGTTTCGTTAACACCTTTTTGTGTTCATCTCTTGACTTGCAGGAGGAGTTCACCAACTAGCCTGATTGCAAAATATGGACATGATTGTTCAAGAAATGGCTTTTTTGCTTCCAACATTTCCGAAGAAGTGGAACATCTCCTCTCCCTCTTTTTTCCTGAAAGATGTAACCCACAGCACCAAGTCTCATCATTGGTTGCAAACATAAAAAATTGTACCTGCTGCATAGTGAAACCACATGCATTCCAGATGGGTATGTGTGATAAGTCAATATTACCTGGCAATGTTTCCTTTAAATTAAGGTCTTCATTATTAATTAATCTATATCCTCATTAGGATTATTGGGGCCTATTGTAAGTTCAATTCAAAAGGCTGGTTTTGAAATAACTGGTCTCCGCTTGGTTCTACTTGATCATTCAGCCGCTGAGGAATTTCTGGAAATATATAGCACAGTTCTGCCAGAGTTTCCAGCAATGGTAACCCAGCTCTGCAGTGGATCTTGTGTTGCAATGGAGATATGTGGGAAGGGTGATAACACTCCAACACAATTTAGGTAAGTAATATGGTAAATACATTTGAAATACCTTGGTCTAGCAACATCTAGTAAATTAATTTGAAAATCTATTATAGGGAATTCGTGGGACCATCTGATCCTGAAATTGCCAAGAAGCTACGCCCCAATAGTTTAAGAGCTCGCTTTGGTGTGAATAAGATACAAAATGCCGTCCACTGCACTGATTTGCCAGATGATGCTGAGCTAGAACTCGAATACTTTTTTAGGCTTTTGTAAAATTTCCAATTACTTATGAAAATTAAGAAAAATGGTTTTGTCAATTAACTAAATTTATTGTATGTACATTTTGTAGTAAAATAGGTGACATATCCGAGACAGTGTAAAGCAAGGAATTACTCCCTAAACACTTTCTGAAAGATATGTGCCATGAGTTTTAAATAATCACTGTCGGAGCAAGCATATATAGCATTGTGGGCAGATGAAGCAGTGCGCCTCCTAGATTCATTTGATGATGTAGATGTCTGTTTGGGATCTTCACTTAGCTGGAGACTCCGAACAACAGCAGGACGAGCAGGTTCATCCTTTTCTTCTATAGTGGGTAAATAACGCTCCGGGGGTGTTTCACTTGAATCAAATTTATCTCCATATGTACGTCTCATTAGCTCAACATATTGGCTCTGAAAGGGGAAATAGCAAATATAAAACAGAATATTAAATCAACTTACTTACAGAGGTAATTAAAAATTAGAAGCAGTTAACTCGAATAATTTTTTTTTTCTTCATTTAAAACTTTAAAATAAAACCCACTCCTTACCATTTCAGTAGATAACTCTCGGCGCAATAAAGCTTGATCTCGTGGATCTCTGGCCCGTAGCAATAGGAGGCTTTGAGAGGCCAGCAATGCGAGGGACTTTTGTAGTCCCAACTGAGCTCTGTCAAAATCTAAAGCTTTGGTCCATGCAGTAATACCTGCTACCTCCCTAGCATCTTGATCAGAAGAGGTAGCAGGAGTTGTGCCGCCAAAACGAACTGGAGAGGAAGCTGCTCGTAATGCACGAGTTAGCGGTGACCTACCATGTCGACTTGCAACATTACCAGTTTTCTGCGAGTTGAAGATAATTTAAGAAATGGGCTCATTATGCAGAAGTTAAAAATTACAAAATACTAAACTTACATGTTGTGAAGCTGTGTATGAAAATACATTTACAGCAGCCAGCAAAGTTCCTAAGGTGAGGCAATGTGAATTTTGCCTTTGTCCAGGTTGTGCAGGGGCAGACCAATTCAAATCCACAAGTGGTATCCATGCCTCAATATCTAACTCTCTATCACAAAGCAAAGCGGACACTGGCGGAGAGAGTTCAAGGAGGAAAGAACTACTAAGTATCACCATATTCATCAGTCTAAAAGCAAGAAGACAAACATAATGCAAGATTAATATGAAGAGATCATTTTAAAAGACAATGGTAAGAATAGAATAGTTTTTAATTGCCTCACATAACTGTACTGAGGGATCTTACTTGTTAGAGGCAGATGACACTTTAGGAGTAATTTGGATCGATGAATCACTGTTTTCCCCATGAAGTGCACTGGACAAATGCTTAGTTCCTTCAGCCATTGATGCTATGAGACTTGGTCTAGTCAATAAGCCAACACTAATATCTAAACACATGCTAACACCTCGCTGAAAGATAAAAACACAAATACAGATTAATTTTGTTTTTTTCTTTTTTTGTGAGGGAGGTGGGACTGTTTTAAAATTAGATTAAATAATGATACTCACAACTAAGTTACTGAAAGTCCTAAATGCTTGAAGCCTCCATTGATTTGAGTGTTGTACTAAGAGTAACAACAGATTAAGAGCTGCCTCTGATAGAGATAAGGCACTGGGCTCTAATGTATGCCTTGCCAAAAGAAGGCAGTCCAACAAAGCATTTTCTTGCACTGCACAAAAGTTTACAGCTGTTTCTAGTGCTCTCACTCCATGATGATTTAGAATTGCACAAACAAACTCCACACCTACACAGAAGACAGAGGACCAGGGAGAGTTTACCCAGGATTCTGGTGACTGAAAAACAAAGACAATACAGGTAAAACTTAAGAAAATCAAGATCTGTTTTATGAACAAGATGATACATAACACCACTGAAATTACCTGGAATGGTTGGTTAGATATTAGCAGTTTTTCTTTTGGTGTGAGTTGTAACCAAAGTTGATCTTGGACAAAATTCAAGTTCAATAATGCTGCATTGCGCTCTGATCCAGCTAATGAAAGCAAAAGATACAGAGCACTTTGAGCGAATTGTAAGTTAGTTTGAGAGCAAAGAACTTCACTGAGGCTGACTATCACTCTGCATGCTATTTTGCTTTGACTAAGAAGCTCTGTCCAGGGGCCGGCAGCAGCTTCAGAAATAGCTTCACAAAGCACCTAGAACAAAAATATGATATAGATTTAGTGACATGGCTGGGTCATATTGTCCGGTGTCCCAAGATCATTCTGACAAAAAAATTACCTGGAGTAAAGTTACACTAAGTTTGCTTGGACCCTCATTTTCATTACTTCTGGAAACACTTATGGCCTGGAGCTCCTGAGAAACCATTGTGATTGTGGCTTTTACAAGGATTTCCATAGCCACCTCATTTCTACACAAACTCAACCGCAGCAATTTAACCGACTGAATGGCACTACTCAAGATGGCTGTTCTAGTACGTGGTGGCAAACCATGATAGTCATATGAAAATCTTAACAGCACAGTCTGCAGTTGACATACTGCTGTATCAGAATCAGCAAAACAAGAACTATAGAAATGGAATGAAAAACCATTAGTATTTTTAACAACCGAGACAAATTTGCATGACTCATATACACCAGAGAGTAATTACCTCTCCCATTTAGCTTGTAATATGAGCAAAAGCTCTGCCAGCATAGTAACTGCTGCTGGTCTTAGTGAAAGCTTGTTGGAGGCTGATGCATCGCGTGATGCCTCCTGCTCAAGGGCTGTCAGCACATGACTGGCAAGAGCACTTTGCTGTTTTTCAGAAAGTTTAAGTTCCTGCACATTACTCAACTCCCCTAAGGCTACTAACAGCATATCCTTCCAAGCAGTCATTAAAGCTAGGCGTTCCTTTACTTCATCTTCATAGAGAGGTTTAACTGGGTCTTCAGCAGCAGAAACAGAATCTAATGCCCTCTTTTCATTTGAACTGCTCTCCACACATAAGGAGTGTGTTATAAATTTGGACCAGGTGACCAGATAGTTGTTTTTATCAGAAAACAGCTTTTGCATTTGTTCCATCAATTGTTTGTGAACTCCAGAACCAAACATATACATTTCTGATGATACTATGTTAAGAACTTGAGCATATCCCCTAACCTTGTGACTTGGAGGAAGAAATAATGGTGCACAAAGATCAGCCCAGAAATCTTTCTTCTCTCGCAAGAAACTCAGCAAGATCTTCTGATGGTGCATCCACAGCGCATGCAAAAGTTCCACTACAGCTCCATACAACATGGAACGCACTAACATTGGCTCATCTTTAGCTTTGGCAAGCAGCTTGCATGCATATGTTAGACAGCCACTTGGATCATCATTGGGAGTCTTGTCTTTACTAAACAAACGCTTACTTTCTTCAGGATGATGAATATTGAAAAAGGCTTCGGTTGCTCCAGGCTGAGTATGAATGCATGCCGTAATCAGCTCCAGTATTGCAACTTTAAGCTGCATAGATTGGTGGGGTGAGTCCAGTTTGGCAACAAATGCCTCTCTTATAACATCTCCATCCATTGCCAGGCATGCTCGAAGTGTCATAGGAACTTCTAATGCTATCCGTTTTAAAACTTTAACGGCAAGAATGGGAACATTTGGATTGAAACAGTGGTAGACATAGTATGCTATGTTTGGAACCACTTGAAGAGAGTTTTTAGCATTAGGAGATGCATATATCAGTTGCTCAGTAGGAGACAAGTCCTTTCCAGTTTTAACAGAATCTTTCAGCATAAGGACTCTGATAAGGATAGAGAGAGCAAGTCGTACAAGGTCTACCAGCTCTACTCCTCCTCCTTTAAGCCAACTTGTTTGCTTCAGCATTTGTCCTTTCAATTCAGCTTCACCTAAGGCACAAATTCTAAGCAATGTATGTCCATTGTCAGTATATAATAAAGCATATAGACTTATGTGAGCAAGTAATCTCTCAAATTCCGATGAACTGCCAGCACCTTCACCAGAGAGAGCTGCAGGGCTGATCAGGTGATGAAATAACTCAAGGCAGAGGTGGCTCAGTTGGGTTCTTTCAGCCATTGCAGCATATCCCCATTCATAACAGCGAGGAAAGACTTCTAGAATCACATAAACCAGACCTGACAATGCTACTGATTGCTGTTCTTTTTCTTTGCAGCCAGACATGATAAGTTTTTGGAGAAAAGAAAGGTAAGCTCTGATCAATGGAAATGAGCCAACTGGGCGTTCTTCATTGACAACTATTCGTCCAAAAACTCCAGCGTTAAAAAAATGTCCTTGAGCAAAGCTAATGTATGTCATGACAGTTCCTTCATCTGGCTGTGTTGTTGGCAGAAAGTCTAATGCTCTCAGTTTATTAGTTACATCACTCGGAAATTCAGTGACAAGACTTGCAGCAACCTCAAGGCATGCAGCCATCATAGCTGACTTAGGGTTTGAGACGAGAAGAAACCTGTGAAAGAAGACAGGAAGAGACTTGCATAATTAATTATATAATTTAATACCACAATTTATATTATAATACTGTAATGAGATTGAATCGTCTCCTTACCTTTCCATAATTGAAAAAACGAGTTCAATAGGTAAAACCATGGCAGGTTCTGCAGGTTGAATTTCACAGCCTGATTCTAAGCAAGCTGCAATGCACCGAACAGAAGCAAGAGCACGGACAACAACTGCGGGTTCTACACCACCACCAGAACTTAAACTTATCTAAAGACAAAAGAACAGCAAGAAATACACATAATTTCAATTTGAAAATTTGAAAATATGAAAAAGTAATGGACTGACCTGAGTCAAGAAGGAGGCTTGTGCACTGTGAACAGCCAACCAAAAGCTGTACTTCACCTTCCAGCATACAAAATGAGGATTTTGATCCACAAGGGTTCCAAGAGTACCAGAGTGCAAAACCAAAGCATCAACATGAGGAAGGGGTCTGTGCAAACCAGTTAGGGTCACACTATTGTTGGACCCAGAAGTGTAAGTCAACAGTTGAAGCAAAGCTGGTACAAGAGGTTCCAAAAGAAAATCCAATTCAGATACCATTTTCAAAACCTGTGAAAAAAACAACAAACAAATCTACTGTACAAAGAAGATAAACAATAAGTAGTGGAATAACAAATCACATAATCGATTTAAGTAAAAAAGATCAATCAAATTTAATCAACTTAAATAGTACTGATGCAGTCACCAATATGGACCCGTCTTACCTCTTCACAACTTCTTGGGCTTGCTGAAGCTAATGATGTGACAATATGAACGAGAGATTCAAATTCAAGCGGAAAGCGTCTCATGGCCACATCTACAGTGAGACGAATACCAGAATCACTGTCAGAGTTCCAAAACATATCTGCAGTAGATGGTTGATGAAGCAATGTTGCACACAGAGAGAGTAAATTTTCCCTAGGTTGCAGCTTTTCCGGCTCAAAGTTTGATGTAAGACAGTCAATCAGCTTATAAACTGTCGAATAGGCTATCTCTGATATTCTAGTAGCCTCTGACTGGAAGTTAAAATGAAACAAAATGAAGTAAGTAAAATAAAAATAAATTACACAGCACAAGTCAAGTAATATGAAATCAAATAATATTCACCTTAAACATTGGTTCATTTAAAAGTTTAGATAGATATGAAAACACATTAAGTTTAGTAGCCATAAAACCAAATTTCCTATACTTTGAAAATTCTTCTTCAGGAACCCCATAAAAATTAAAGAGCATCCATACTAACAGCAGCGGTGGATGCTCTTCCTTTTTGTACAATTCTTGCATTTCAGTATCAAAACTGGAATGAAGTTTCAATCCATCTTCAAGCCAGAGAGTCTTGGCAAAGCCTCTGCAAAAGCACAATAAGAAAGTGATTGATATACTTTTTTTTTGCCCGCATCAGTTAAAGAAACTTGATGATTACTTACAAATCAGACACGTCAATCATCCTTAAAAGTAGAACAACTTGACTAAATGTAATACCCTGAAGGAGGGGGAGGTGCTGCCTCTTCAGTTTATGCCTATACAAAAGTGGATGCTGTCAATAGTGAAGAAATTGGTTATGGCATTTCAATATATTGAAAAATTAAGTATCAGATTGGGACTTGTTTTGTGATAACAACCTTGCATAACTTCAATGTCTCCAGAATATTTCGCCACTGACATTGGTATCCATCCACAAAGAGAGTCAAGTTGTGAAGCACAGAAAGTTGTTCTTGCAAGTAAATGGACATCCACTGGTCTGATGTGGTGCTATAAATACTTGTTTTCGTGCTAGAGCTTAAATTGGTAGATGATGTGGGAGCATTCTGCTCAGTGAGCTGTTTTAACTGTTTCAGAAGAGACTCAAAAATAGCATTTGCTGTTAAATCAGAGAGTAGCTCAGAAAACACTTCCTGAAAATTTGAGGACAGTAAATATGAGAGTTTGGCTAACACAAAGGCTAAACTTACAGAAAATGAGCTTGAAAAAAGAATGGTTCTGTACTAACTGAGAAGGGGTGTTCTTTATCCTGCCAATAGGCTAAATATATTCCAATACACTTTAATAAAAAAGCACGCTCACTCCAATAGAACATGCATATGTCTTTCACTAATTGTTCTTTCCGAACATCACTTTCAAGAAATGATTCCAAGTTGTCTTCACTGCCACGAAATTCATGTTCAAGGTAAAACACCATAAGATCCCATGCTTGTAATGCATCTAAATTCTGAAAATTATAGCAGGATTGTATATTAAACATTTCTATAAGTAATCCGAAACTAAATCAACATTTGATATCTTACCATTTGTCGTGCTATGTTAACAACAAAAGAAAGTGTTTTCCCATCAAGACAAGACTTAAGTTTTTTCTCAGAATCTTCATTAAATGGTCGATAGTGACTGATTCCTGCTAGAATTTGTGATCGAGCCTTTTGAAGCTGTTTACGAGCAGCTTCAACACTTGTACCCAGCAATGTGCCGCCAGTAACAGCCCACAACTGCTTGTTGTAACTAAAATAGACAATCGCCAGAACAGGTAGAAAACATGATTAGTGGTTCAAGATCATCCAGAAATTCACAGTAGATGATAAATACATATCAAAAGAGTAGGAATAGACACTTGTAAACATACAACTTAACCTTAAAAATTACTTACATTAATCCTCCTTTTAACTCTGTCATCGTTGAGCTCATATTTAAACGTTAACAAAGGGTAACTTCAATAATAATTAAGGAAAATTTGATTTTTTCAAATATCACAGATAAACAGTATAAAACTTCATAACGCCAGTTTTTCTCGTTTTCTGGTCTGGTTTGGGTTGTCTGCGCCGCTGAGTGCCGACTCTGCAGCATGCAGTTTCTTGTTCCCGCCTCACAAGTGAACTCATTGCCATCTTTCCCTTATTTGAAATCAAACTTGAGAAGCTTGATATAGAGAGAGTGTTTTGTATACGTGAATAAAACAAGTAAATCAAAATCAAAGTATGGTGTTTCAATTTGAAAAATAAATGAATATAATAGTTATTACTAAATAATATTGTATAAATGGGTCTTAAGGTTGGTTCTTCTGAAATGGAAAGTGGGGAGCGTGGGTGGGAGGGAAGTGGGGGAAGCTAGGGCGTTGTTTACGTTTACGATTTATATTCTGTGACGAACAGGTTGCTCAGTCACTTCATTTATTCCTCTATTTTCCTTTTCAAGTATTACAATCCATCACAGAAAATGATTTCCCTTCGAAGAGAAAGTCACATTTTTGTCCTCACGATCGTTTTAGTAGCTTTCTTAAACCCAGGTAAGACATTTGGTTGACAGTTTGTTTAAGATTCAAAAATTGGCTCATCATTATTGATATTTTATTAGTTCTGTTTGAACCTCAATTATATTTCATATAATTTGTTAGTTACGTCTCGAAATCCTTCAGTATCCATTGTCGCGATTCTTACATTTTTGAGGCATTGAGGTTATGGATACCCTGCTGGGGTGTGGTTCCAATGCACCTGTAATGACAGTGATATTAATTAAATAAAAACACATTGTAATTATGAAACAATTTCAGCTAATGCCATACAGTGCTACCAATGTGAGAGCACGGACCACGATAATCCATTCCAGTGCTCTGAGTTCATGCCAGAAGACACAGAATTGCAACCCACTTCATGTGATAATGTGCACAATGCACAGTATTGTGTGAAATTGGTGGGGCGTAACAGAGGTACCCTTCACTGAATGAATTTTGGGGGTGGGCAGGTGCACTGGCTACGTTCGTTCTGCATTGTTTGCTGTGGTGGAGCGGAGCTATTGCAATTTCATGCTTGGTCACTTGTCACTTGCTTGCTTATTGTTATCACTTCACCACATGTTTTAATTTTTTAGGCAGATAAATACTGTCAGGTACCACAGCACACCCCATATTGTAAATTATCACTTCTGTGAAGCAATTGTCAACAAGATTAAATTGAATTTGTAATGAATTATCCTACTTCTATTAATGTGGGTTTACCCTCTCGTGACAATTTAAATTTGTCCGATTTTAAAGCATGCAACTTAAAAATAATCTATCCAAAACCCCTATTTATATTGGTTATGATTGACCCTCTGTCGGTTCTGGTGTGGAGTCTGTTGTGGTTTTTCTGACTAATACCACTTGTGTGTGTATGTGTATATCTCTAAATATTTTTTCCAGCTGAAGGGGTGGCGATATATATGCTTTTTTTTACTAACTAATTTTAATTTGTAAATATGCACTGTTCTACTTATCTTGGTGTATGGCACTCATTGCTAACTCTTTTAATGGCTTCTTTGTTTCTGTGTGGGTAGTGGCAGGCTGGTTTTGGTCCGGTGATGTGATCAAGTGCTATCAGTGCTCCTCTCATGACAACTTGGACTGTGCGGATAATAATATTCAGGATGGATCCATTAAACCCCTTGATTGCAGTCACATTCATGAAGCTAAGTACTGCGTTAAAACGGTTGGACGCAACTCAGGTAAACTTAACTTATTGATATTCGTGTTCCCTAAGAGTCAGTGGGTAATACATAAATGACCCTGGTGTTAAGCTTGCTTTTTTGTTAATTCTGTTCATAGATGATAGTTCTTGGTTGTAATCATGGGGTGTTGTTGAACGTATTCAGTCTGTTTTTCAGAAACATAAATTTTGCATGTCAATTTAGTAACTTTAGGAGGTTTCAGATTTTACAAAACAAGAGCGCCAATGGTCCCTCATTTGCTGTGCGAAGCAAACAGAGCGTAAAAAGCAGGCCTGGCATGAAAGTCATACTTGTGTTTTGTAAACTCTGAATCCATCCTGATTCCAATCTCTTTATAGCTTTTGTCTGGTTGGGCTGTATAAGTTATTTTGTAAATAATAAAGTATAATATTTGAGTGAAGCAGACCTTAAGCTCTTTCTGTTCAACAGCTGTCTCAGAGTGCATGATACATTTCATCTTGGCCAATAATATCACTTGCATTCCACCTCTAATTTTAAAATTCTGATGAAGTTACTGTAGCTTTACAAAATGCTTTCCTACCCTGTTAGCTTACTAAATATGCTTGCTTTTACCTAATATCTAACACTACAGCTTAACACTGAGAAACATTTTACAGCTCTTTATTGTTATCATGTTTTACAAATTAGTTTGTCTCTTTTCAGGGGTGTACACCACATCCAGGCAATGTTCGTCGGTGGATTTAGGAAACTACTGTGATTACATAAAACTCACAGGGGATGTTATGGACTACAGATCCTGTGTTTACACCTGTGAATCAGATGGGTGTAATGCTGCAGATAGCCTAGCAAGGCCAAGTGTTGGTGTTTTGCTTTTATCCGTTGTTGCTCTATGCACTGGAATGTTTTTAATGTAGTTTTCTTTTTAAATGTTGACCTCTTTCTTTTGTAAGATGTTTTGGGGGTCTGTTTTATCTTTAAATTTTGAACAAATGTTGAATGTATATGTTGTTTACTAGTGGTACTGTAAATTTATGGAGTCAAAATGTGGTAGACTGTTTATAATATACACTCTCCAAAACTTATTTTAAGTTTTCAGATTTGTAAAGATAGTTTTACATTGAATCTGTTTTTTATTGCTTGCTGCATTCATTTGTAAGTCATCATAACATTGCAGCTGTCTATTGTTATAGCACATTTATGTACCTGAGTTTCATAAATATTGTCAACTTCATCTTGTACTTCCAGAACACAAGATCTGATATTGTTTTAATTTATTGCCATTTATTCCCATCTTGAATCATAACCTTTGTATCATTTGGTATTTAACATTTTTTTAAAAATGTATTTTCTAAAAATATCAGTTTGCTTAAAAAACTTTTGACTCTTTCCACCCTTTTTTTCATTCCTTAGTGGTGGCTTAAGAGCAAATCTTGTGCTTAAGTTAGAAGGGGTGAATCATATATTTCATGTCAATTTAAGCACCCAAATTGGTGTACTGTACTCCAGAATACCTCGTTTTGCCTTCAAATGATTTTCAACAAAGGCGGTGCAATGATATTTTTCTATTTTTACACTTCTTTTTTCTTTTTTGTGAAAATTCTGTCTTAATAGTTTAAGAGAAAACTTTGTAATTTTTAGGTTTACATGTATCCGTCCAGTAAAAAAACATGTCTAATTAAAAACTACAGTCCAGTAGTGATGCTGTTCAAAAGAAAATAAAACAATATTTCAGAACTTCACATAATCTGCCATTCTTTCAACCAATAGTGAAACCTTCTAATACCCTGCACTCTTTCCAGCTAAATCGAAATTACACCATACTTCAAACGTCCCCACTTCTCGAATCCGTGTGCACGAAAACATGAAAATTAATTCAGAGTGTAACACAGGGTAGTGTTCGAAGCCGTCCTTTTTCGGTAGGCAAAGACGGAAGACGGGAAGCCCCGAGGCTCGCTTAGGAGGTTGAAATCGGCGGTACAAAGTATCCGAAAACCTAGAACCTGCCCTACGGTCGAAAGTACACCTCCACCGAGTTTCAACTTTCAGTCACCATTTAGAGGGTTGGAGATATCAAATTTCCCTCGCCTACACCTCGGAGGAAAAGACGGCTTAGAACACCCACCCTAATGGGTAAATGTGTCAGCTAAAATAAAAGACCGAAAGTTGAAATTTGGTGTAAGTCTACTGCAGACCCTAATACATCTGGATACCGGGCCAAATTTAAACTAGGACATACATTTATGTTTAATTTCATAGTCCGTTCATTGAGGGTTTTTTAAAAACAAAGAAATATCCTTGTCACTACGTTAATTTATCTCATTTTTAAGCGTGCTGTCGGAGTGCATTCCTCTCGGTGATCTTGGGGCGCACACTTGGGGGCGAGGGCGCCCGACAGACTGGGGATAGGCAATGCGCTCCGCAGGCGCGCGACGGGGTTGCCTATCCCACCGTTGGCAGGGGCCCCCCGGGCGCTGTGGAAGGAGTGCGACCGACTGACATACCGAGGTGCTCCGCCCCACCCCGCCCCTCCGCGGGCGCTCCGTGCGGGCAGCAGGGCAGTAACGGCCCGGGGCACTAACCTACCCCAACCCAGACGGGCGTGCGCCCCGCCCCGCCCCGCCGCCCAGTGCGCCGCCCCCGCG